CCATTGTTGCTCCTACTGAAAAAAGGTTAGTAAGAAGCCCCGGATATACAAGCCGTAGTCATTCCTGCACTCTTCACCTGATTTCGACAGAAACACACTACAAGTCTTCAGCTAAAGCACTTCCTGTTTGTTCCATTTCAAATCCAAAAGAGCCAAAAATATGAGAATAATGTCCATGTCCCAATATTTATCTAAGTGACTGTTGTATACTCCAAGATTTTTATTTTTATTTTTTTGTTACATGTGGAAGAGGAAGACAAATCCAGTGGATGTTGGGAATGCAGAGTAGATGGAGGGCCTTCCTCACAAATGTGACATCATGGTGAGAAGGTCTAATGATTCTGTTTTTCGATTATACGTGCATCGTGGCAAAGCGTCAATTTGTTGTGTGTGTCTTTTGTATGATGATGTGTGTGCTTGTGTGTGTGTGTGCTTGTGACATTGATGTTGGCTACCCAGCTAGTGCTCACCTCTCTTTAACAAGCGTATTAGTCAGATTAACCAAAGTTACATTACAATTCCGGAGGCCGCTCCTCATGCCGTGACACGTCAATGACATCCACATGCGATCCTCGGCACTTCTGCAAATTTCCCCCTCCCGCTTCCAGTAAGTCAGACAGACAACATCAAGTTCGCGAATGAGCATGTGATGAAAGTGGGCCCTGCGGACCACCCGGCCTCCGGAGAAAGAAGCGCCACCGCATTGTACCATAAACAACCCACAGCTGAAACTAATACATATCAGAGCGGACCCCGCCGTCGCAGTGTATCTGCAAGCAGATATTATTTCCAAGGTCATAAATTTGCCCGCATATTAATCCATATTCGCGCACGTCAGCCCACACGCTGCATGCGTTTGAGGTTTCGGGGGCTCATTGAATTGTTTTCCTTCATGTGTTTTTTGTTTATATATAGATAGATAAAATTCATTTACAGTGCAACACCCAATGTCGAACTAAATTGGTCAATTTAACATTTATCCCACAGGCTGACATTGTTCACCCATTCTGTGACATTGCTATTTTTAGGAAAAAAAAGGTGGGGAAATGTTGCTTTGTACTCCCTAAAAAAACAACAATGAATTGAATTGAATTGAATTGAATACAACTTTCTTGTCAAATGTGCTGTACGTATGTGTAACATACAGCAGAGATGAAATTTCTTCCCTCTCATCATAAAACAAGAGCAAAAACAGAAAAAAAGAGGAACATGGCAGCCAAATTTCAGAAAAAAAAAAGTTGGAAAAATAATTTGCGGAATCCTGAACGTATGCTACGTCGACTTCCGAAAAAAGGTGGGGAAAAAAGCCGGGACAACTTGGTGACCTCATTCATTAAAAGTGTGGTCTCTAGGTTAAAAATGCGTAAAAATACTCAGCTGACTTTGCTCCTCATTTCGTGTCTGCTATGCTCCGTTTATGCCAAGTAACAACCTGGAAAAGGAGGAAATGACTTTGACAACCCCACCCCCCACCCCCCAGTTGGAGATGTTTATACAAAACAACGATATGCTGGGTCAACATCGGAAAAGTGGTCGACTAATGGCGGGTCAATTTCAGAAAAAATACGAACGAAAGCAGGAAAAGCGTTGGGTCATTTTCACCCCCCCAAAAAAAAGCTGGAAAGATGCTGAGCCAACTTTGTACTTGAATTTTACGAAACACCAGGTCGACGTTTTAAAAATGGCAGAAAAACAAACCTGACTCTTTCCTCCCACTCGGTTGGTGCTGCTTTTAAAAACAAAACACAGAAGAATGTTGGGTCACCTTTATAAATAAAGGTGGAACTATGCGGGGCTGACTTCTATGTCTGTGTCTTTAAACATAATGACACAGGGAAAACATATTTTTAAAAATGCCTTGACTTTGTCCCCCTCGTCCAAAGAAGAATGACAAAGGAAATACGAAAAAATATGCCAGATCTTCCTCACGCCATCAATTTTTATATTAATAATGCTTCCCAGTATCATGAAACCATTTTATAATTCATGTAAAAAAAAAAAAAAAAAAAAACATCCTTTTTGTCATTTATCAATATAATTGTTCAATACAGAGAAATGAACAAATGGTTGCCATTTCAAGGCAGTGTAAAAGGAGTTATAAATAAGAATAAATAAATGCCATACTCTACTGGAACAGAAGTTTGGTACTATCCTGATAGTTGAACGCTTTCTGGTGAGAGTTGTGACATTACCTCATCACAAAGCTACATTCACATGGAAAGTCATTGCGCAAATTGCGGTTTGGAAAGTAACCTTGAGCCACGTACATAATTTTCATTTTGCATTTTTAGGTTTTTTTTTTTTTCTGCCTGAAAACCAGGCCACCTTGTTCTATTTACAAGCTTTGGCCCAGTTACATGCTTGTTTCGAGTGGAAACTGGGATTAGTTTTTTTTTTGCTTACTTTGCAATCAGGCTTTGTTTTTCTCGAACTTTTCCAGCTCAAGGCCCAAATAAAAACTACAATTCCAATGACGTGGGGACATTGTGTAAAATGTAAATCAAAACAGAACCCAATGATCTGCACATCCCTTTCAACATTTTTTTTTCAAATACAGTATTCCTTCATTTTCCATTGGCATGTTCCAAAAATGGGAAGTAAGGCAGAGGCAATAAATGACCGGGAAAGTTGCAGAATGCTCTAAAAACAACCATTTGGAACTTTGCACAGGGGAGCAGGTTAATTGGAAACTGGTGAGTGTCATGAGAGGGTATAAAAGGAGCATCCCCTGAAAGGCTCAGTTGTGCACAATCTGGAGAAATCTCTGCTCATATGCATGTAAAACCAACCTAGAATGACAGTGGATTAAAGATTGGCATCATCGTGTAAAGCAGTGGTCCCCAACCACCGGGCTGCGGACCAGCACCGGTCCATGGGTCATTTGGTACCGGGCCGCAAAGAAAGAATAAATGACTTACATTACTTCTGTTTTATTTATTTCGGAATCTGATAGATGTTTTATTTTGGAAAATTACCGGATTCTGTTACATCAGTCTACAGTGTATCACTCTTGACTCAGGTCAAGAGCGACATCTTCAAATGCAAATTAAAAAAGCCACAAATCAACAACATCCAGAAAGTACTGACACAAAGTGGAAAAGTGTGCTGTGGTCTGACGAGTCCAAATTTTAATTGGTTTTGGGAAATCATGGACATCATGTATTTCGGGCCAAAGAGAAAAAAAGGATCAGCCTTGTACATCTGTGGAGGCACCATTAACGCTGAAAGGCACATAAACATTTTGGAGTAACATATGTTGCCAACCAAGCAACGTATTTTTCAGGAACATCCCTGCTTATTTTAGCAAGTCATTACCAAGCCACATTCTGCATGCATTACAACAGTGTAGCTTCCTCGTAAAAGTGTGGGCTGCCAGCAGTCCAGACCTGTCTAACATTAAAAATATGTGGGGGGTTATGAAGCACAAAATATGGAGAGTAAGATGAAGCTAGATAATGACCTGCTACTTTTTCCATGTTATTTGGTACACGTCAGCAGTTTGTTTCACTTGGTTAGCGCTTCAGCTCCTGTTTTATGAAACCTGTCAGGAAGAGCAATGAATACAGAAGGCACATTTTTTGTCAGTATTTTATTGTCTTATGTGCATGATGCTCAAGCTGCCTACAAAAACAAAGAGAGTGAAATCAAATCCATCCGCATGCTTGAATAGATTGTATGTCGTGCAAGTACGCAGAGGGATTACAATCGCACGCATGCATAAGAAAGCCAAACACACATACACATACACATGCACACAAATAGAAGATTGATGGCAAAGATATTAGCCCAGGCACACCAGAAGGCAGTCATTTACACATTCCTCTTTGTTCTTCTTTCTTGTTGTTTTGGCCTTGTTTCCCATCGTACTTGCGCTATTTCTCAGATTGAGGTTTGATAGGCCTGATAGCCGATCAAATATTTGAGACACAAAAGTGATGAGGTTTGGGCTCATTTCAAATCCTGAATGCCGTGACTAGCTGTTATAAAACAAGGAATTGTATTGATCTGACTGTGCTTTTAACCCTAACGGACCAGATGTCCTTTAACCCTGTTAGATAATGTCTCTGGGTCAATTTGACCCAGGATATGTTTAATGACAAAAACCTGATCAACATTATTAACCGCTTTCAATTAATGTCAAAATGAACCATTGTAATTGTCTGTTGATGACACGTTTGCAAAATTCTGTATGTCCTTTTTTTTTTTTCCTTTCCTTTCCTTTTTAAACTTTAAAATGGGTCAGTTTGACCCGGGCTGTGCTGAATAGCCTCAAAGTATTCCAATAAGCATTATTAACCATTTTAATTGAAACTACAACTTTGTCAAAGTTAACCATTTTAATGACAATAAACTAATATTTGTGCTTTTTCACCCTTAAAATGAGTCCGTTTAACCTGGGATGTTTAATATTCCAAAAGTAACCCATAAACAGATCTTATTAATGACCATTTTCATTGCACATGTCGAAATTAATCATTTCTTACCTTGTTGAGCAATGCTAAGTATTGACCCATTTGAGCTCTGTTGGTTCCTGAAGTGAGGTTTGTGTGCATTCAAAAAAACAGTGTAAAGCAATCCGTAATGTATAGTCTTAGTGAAGTAATTATTTGAAGGACCACTTTTTACCTTTGAGTTTTTTATTATTCGAAAGTAACGGTATCCTGCGTACATTTCTGCCCACCTATACCGAGGACAATCCCAATTTATCACCAGTGCAGTCTCACCCTAGCGTGCAGGGAATAAGCGCCACTACGATGCTAATAGCGCACATATGTTCCTCTTAAAACATTTATATTTTGATTGCTGCTTTGGCGCACGTCATCCCAAAACACTTAATGCGTCACTGTATTACTGTGGCGATATCATCCTGGAACACGTTACTCAGTTTGTGTTTTCGTGTGGGATGCACAACTCTGGTGACACAATGTCAAACAGCGGTGTATCTGGCCAAACAGAGTCTCAATCAAGCGGGACTCAAAACAATTGACGCATGAAAGAGGCCCAGGAAGTTCCAGCCAGTGGGTGGCTTTTTTTTTTTTTTTTTTTTTTTTTTTTTACTGTGTACGTGTGTGTGTGCGAGTGTGTCTATCTTCATGTGGAGGTGTTTAAGTTTATGATCATGTAAGGAAATCCTTGCTGGAGGGTTCAGAAACTTTAGGATAGCCTTCCAGAACCAGCGTCTGCTCTTGACAGCAGCAATTTGTTGGCTTTCAAGACTAAACTGTAAATGAAACAATGTGGCAGATCACAGTAAAAAGCATACCATTGATCGGGAGCCTTGTTTCCAAAGACATAAAACTAAAATGATATTTGAATTTGGCTTTGAAAAGCGCAAATTTGATTCCTCCAACAAGTGACAAGCAAGTATAACTGAAACTACCAATAGTCCGTGTTTGTCCACCTCTGCATTGAGTGTAAATTACCCACCAAGTAATGGGGTTCTTACAGTGAAATCCAGCAGCAAGGGTGTGAAAAGATCCCACGGTATGCTCGGAGTTGTTTTGTGTGGCTGACATGACCGCCGGCTGACCCGCAGTCACTCCCTGGCCACATTTGGATGGCTGATGGCTGCGATGAGCGTTGGACTGGAAGGCCGGTGACACACCAGGGCACAAAGAGACAATAGATGACCTCAGACGGGTAGACATAGCAAACCTCCGTGCTGTCAGACCTTCTCTAATCTGGACCCATGGGATAGACAGGTTTCTTCTGCTCCCACATGGACCCCGCAGACACAACAGCAGACGCGCTAGACACGACATCCACAGCCTCGCACCGGAGGAAACATCCACTCTTTATCTACAGTCGTCTCCACTATGTTTGTTTTCATTCTCACAACAGTTTAGTTTACACATGGACCATAATACAGGAGAGATGAGATTCTTAATTCTCTAAAATTTGCTTTAGTACGAATACATTCACCAGCAATTGCTTTACTTTTACCAATATATTTTTTTTCAGGAATCACAGGAGTCTTCCTTGGACTTTCCAAAAACATTCATTTTAGATTCCTTGAAGAGCCTAAAACTTCTATAAGGGTGAATGATTGTCGATGTGGCCTGTGTTTGAGAGGTGACCAGTCCAGGATGTGCACCCCCCTGTCACCCAAATGTCAGCTATTATCGCTCGCTCACTGTTAAAGGAAAAGGATGAAAATATTGTGTAGTATCGCTAAGTGTAAAGATCTCACACTGTAAATTGCTTATTGCTGACCCCATTTCAACTTCTTTACAAACCAAAACAGCAGCACCCACCGAGAGGGAGAAACATAAGCAGTCACTCAGATGAGTCTAAGTGTGGAGGTTTACAACCGTGCTGTAAAGCACTTCAGTATTGATCAGCATACGTTATGTGGGAACAGACATGATTTTGTACACCTACGCCATCTGCAGTTGAATAAACAATCCAACAGTCCCTCCACTTGTCAACGCTACATGCCAAAGAGTACAAAAAAGGACATGGAAGCTGTATGTACTTTTCTCCCCATTTTTTCTGGTACTAAAGGAACTTTAAATTTAAAGTAAGAGCCCTTGTTTGTATGATTGTTATTCAATCCCAAAGGATTCCAACCTAAAAAAAAATGTTACGAGGCATATTATGTATACAGACATCAGGCCAGTTGCTCAGGGAGATGGGATTGGCTGATGAGGCGCTCGTGTGAGCACTCCTACTTGCTTTTGAGCCAGACAAGTGAGACACTACCCTTGTGTGTTTATAGCAGTAAATCTAACTTACGGTAAAGAGTTCCTGAATCAAATGCAGTCTAAAAATAAAAAGGAACAGCAACGACTTTTCCATCTAATTGCATTACATCTACCTTATCTTATTACATCTAATTCCATTTGTTACTGTTTTTGTCCAGGCGTGATCTTGGTTTTATTTTCACAGAACACTTTTGAAAGAATTGCTCCGAGAAAAAAGAAAAAACAACAGCAACACTTTAATTTAATTGGTAAATAAAATAGAAAAGTAGCCTAAATGCAGTGGGAAAAGCAGAACCAGGTTCCAGACAAACACATACCAAGTTTTACACCATGGTGGCGATACAAATCGGTCAACGTGATTACATTAATTGCTTCCCATGAAAGCTAATTAATGTGGCAAGTGAAAGAGAATCTATAAAAAGTACATCCACCCCTTATAAAGAGCGAGATTGTAAATTTAAAATTAAACGCTGCAAGCCACTAGATTCACACGACCGCCATCTTGTGGCAACATTGTGTGTATGCTACAAACGCCTAACTGTCAACACGGAGATTAAATTCGGTTACATAAATTAAAAATAAATGAAAATAAAAATTGAGAGTCCCATTATAATCTCATTTGTTTGGGAAAAAAAGGGTGCGTACTATTTGTATGAATCGTGTTTCCTACAGTCTTATTAAATCTCGTTAGTTATAGCCTTCAGCCAAAATAGATAGCAAAACACATTCGATTGTAAATGTATTTGTTCTCTTTTGGGATAAATGCTATTTTGTCCGGTTTGGGGAGTGTGTGCAGTGAAAATATTGTCCTCTGTGGTGCCCCATACTTGCTCCAGCCTCTCCGCCTCAGAGGCTAAAAGATGGCCGAAGCACATCCGTGGCCTAGCCGGTTCTTCTGTCACAGATGTACCGCTGAGATCAACCCTCGCCTTCCCGTAAGTCCTGCCGACAATACGTTAATGTACAAAACGTCCAAGCGTATTCAACACACGTTTGATGCTTTGTGACGTTTGTAGAGGGCCATTTCGTCATCGGTGCCAAACGTTAGCACGCTAACGGCTACGATGTCCTGTTTTAAATGTAATGCTAATGGCAAGCGTGCTATCTTTAAACCTGGTTTTACATGCAAAACGCGATGCGTTTTAAAATATAAATTTGGGTCACTTGTAAAGAAGGAAGCGACGTTCCTCGGTTTCTAAAAAGTTTGCTGTCAATTTAATATCGACTTCTTAAATTGACGTTTAGCTGTTTATTATGGTACGTTTTTGTTGTGTGTGTCTGTGACGACTTTAACGTCAATGCCGTGTTGAGTTTAACAGGTTACGTCACTCATTTGCTGAAACAACATCGTGAACTCCGTTATGACCCTAAAATAAAGTCGATGCGTTTTGTTGTCATGGTGCCATTCATCAAGCTAAACAAGGTGTCACGTTCTCGAATGATCCCATCCAGATGCTGCATCAGTGATCGTATACATTACTTATGGAGTTCGTTAGAAAAGTTCCCCGAGAGCTGTCATACACGATACAATGCAAACCCAAATTATGAGTTTTTCCCTCCAATGTGGGACAGGCAGTATGTTGGATATGGTCAGTGCGTGGGAAGAGGCAGTCTAGTTGTGGCAGGACAACTCATAGCTGTTCAACCTGCCCTGAGCATCAGTTCCTGGTTGAAGAGCAGAGCCGTATTGGACAAACCTCTGTATACACCTGACCAGACTATTCCCGACAAACCTCTGTATTCACCTGGCCAGACTATTCCCAAGCCTCGATTAAGGGGAGTTGTTTTGAAGACGTGTGTAAAATCAAGATGACCTTGATGATCAAGCTGCCAACTATGCTGGAAGAAATCTTCCAGGAGGAGTCTATGAGAGACGATGTATACATACACTGTATATTGATAGCGCAGGCACTTGACGCATGCATGACCTCACATAAGAGAGGTTGCAGTTTGCCTCACTAGCGGTGTTGCGGGTAAAATGACTTACCCGCAACACTGCTAGTTAGGCTAAGTGATGCGGTCCTGCAAAATCTGCCCCTTTTTAAATTTTGGCCAATCGAATGCGTTACTTTTTTCCAGTCAAGTAATCAAGACTAGAGCTACTTATCAAACTCACAAAACATGCAGTGTATATTTACTTCACCTTGAAAGTGATGTCAGGATTTCAAGACTAAATGTAATCAATTTATAAACCATGTACTTTATGTTAAGTTTTGCCATTGCAACATTAAATGTTAATTGTATATTTTATTTAAAAATGTATTTGTGTTAAGTCAAATATATTTTTTAATATGTAAAAACAAGTAACCCATTTATGCCGAGGTGAAATACAAGAAAGACTCATTGTTTTTCTTTAAATAAAAACATGTTTAAAAAATTATTTTTAATAAAAATGAATTTTCTTCTTAAATGTCATTATAAAAAATGCACTTCCAATTTTAGTGGCGAAACCAGGTGTCATTTTTATGTCCAACAGGGTTGTCAGTATCTGCTGAATATGACTATTAAAGTAACTTGTAATCTAATTTTGTTATTTCTAATGTCAAGTAACTAAGTTTCTTTTTCTTGGTGGCAAAACTGCTCACCAGTAATGAACAATACCGCACGCCACTGGTCGGGAAACCTCAATAGAGTCAAAATGGAAGATGGTGGAGGCCCTTATCTGTTACCAAAAAGAATTTAATGATATGATAGTCGATAGAAGTAAAACTTATACACTTTGGCTGCATACAAGATGACAGGCAAAGCGGATAAATGCCGACTTCTCTTGCATCGCTGATGTTGCAATATTGCGAAATCGGTGTCACATATGATGACGGTTTGAAATCCTACAGTTTGGGGCACTTTAGAAGCACATTGTCCCCAAAAGTGTTCTTTTAAATGTGAATGTAATGTCAATGATTAGGGATGTTCCACAATTGTTTTTGTATTTATTTATTAAGGAATACACATGTCCTAGATGTGAGTCGGGGTTCATCGAGGAGCTGCTGGAAGAAAGAAGGTATGCGTTGTTTTTTTTAAAAAAAAGCTTAGCGCCATACAAATAAGGCACACCTTATATTGGTCAATTATGTCAAAATGTATAAAATGAAATAACAATCATAACTGTACATTTATGTCGTGTGGAAGTGGTAAGGTTACATTGAAATGGAATGCTAATTGATTTGCTTTGACATTAATAGGAATCTAAACACACAAGCCCTATTGGTGTGTTTAAAAAAACACAAAACAAACAAAAAAAACCTATATAACGACACATAACACGTCAACTATCTGTCTCCCATCTAGTGCTGACAATGGCTCCGCGTCTACCATCTCCAGCGGGCCACAAAACCAGCAACCATTTGAGGTTCCTAACTCATTCTCTACTTACATCACATTCTGTGTTAAAGGAGACATATTATGGAAAATTGACTTTTTAATTGCTTGTATACAAATACTCGAGTCTGTGGAGTGGCAGGCCAGCAATCAAGTTGAAATTACACTCACCAGTAAATCTTTTGTTTGCTGCCAATTTTCAATAACGTGTGTGAGCAAGCCGTTCTGTAGGGCTAATTTACATAGTAACCCCCAAACCGAGTTTCTCCACCCATGACTTGTAAGTTAGGCTTGGTGAAGATCTGCCACTTTCGAGCGACAACCAGACTAGTGTCAAAAACGATAAAGTACAGTATATCAAAGTCAAAAGGTAAGCACAGCTGTACCATGTTGATCAGCACACGAAAGATCAAGTGTAATTCGGCTGCTTTTTTAGACTCTGGGTATTGTGTTAATGAAGCCCATTGTCGCCATTGGGACAGCGGTATATGGGGCAAGATGAACAGTGACTTACGTGCACGAGATTGGCCTTGAAAATTGCTGATTTCATCAAGATTCAAAATTATGGATGCACAAATATCAGTATTGATGCTGATACGGCCCATCTAGATTCTTAATTGGATTTGTAAAAAGGCTCCAAAACGACGACACCCAGTACCAGGCCGCCATATTCATTCACACTGTATTACTTTGGTCCTCCCTGAGCTTCATCACTGCTAGCTTCATGCTACACATAATAGAAAATGCCATAGACTGGGTAATAAATGGCATTAATCTAATAGCAATAAGATAGAGAAAAATGATATAACAATAGTTGGGCATCGGCGTGCACTTACATGTAAGTACTTGTCCTTGAGCCTGGTCTTTAAAAGAGGAATCGGTGCGTCCCTACAAAAGGCTTTCAAATGTAGTGTAATTCTTCTTGGTATTTTTGATGAAAGCATGTCCAAAAACATGTTAAGTCACACAGGAACTGTTGGGAACTGGGGGCGGGGGGCGCATAATATGTCTCCTTGAACCGTCAACTTGACTAACTTCTCAAGAAGTGGACTTCGGTGCTTGATGAGGAATGATGTGAGGTTAACAATCCTGCATTAACACTGATGCCAGTCAATGTGCAAAGACTTCTGCCAATGTTGTTGTATTGTCTTTCGAGTTGACGGTCAACAGAAATGCCAGTCTTCACACATGTCGTTCAGTACATGTGCTTTGCAACGTTTTGGTCAGGCTCACTCTGGCATTTTTCACACATATGCTTAAGGTCAGCGCCTCATTGTGACGTATTGCAAAAAAAAAAAAGTTGTCTGCTCGATTACATCATTATTTATTGATTCTTTTTTTTTTTCTTACCATCTTGGATGTCACATTCAGAGACCAGCAAAAAGAAAAAAACATGGTGGTTCGAATGGATATACAAGGGGTCTTTGTCTCATGGCAACCGGACTTCCTTTTTATATGGTGGTGACGCCACCCGAATTTATACAAAATCAAATTACGTTGTTAATGACCTACGCTAACTCAGTTTTTAAGTCATAACTCCAGTATAGTTCATATTTTTTGTAAAAAAAAAAAGAAAAAGACTTCTCGGTCATCAATACGAAACAGATGACCCCTTCTATTTATGCCCCTATGCTTTTTGCTGCCATTTTAACACTGGTCTGTGTTCTGTATAGATTTTAGCTCAACTATATCAAATGCATCAGGGTTCGCGCTAATCAAATGTAATCTGATCAAGTGTGAATTTAGCATTGCGTTTTAGGTGTTGGAGATTTTAAAATTCCCCTTCCTTGGTGCCCAAATGTCTTCCTCCAGAATGCAGACCAGCACTTGTTCACATTCCCGTCAGGCTACGGCCAATTCTCGCTGAGCGTCTTCGATGACGCCTTCGACTTCGGAGCCGCACACGGAGCGGAGGACAACCGTGATGCCGAGAGCCGGCAAGAAAGGGAGAACACGTCGCGGCAGCGCTACAGTGCCAGGCAGCCAAGGAGTCGTCACGGCTCGAGACGGCAGCCCGGCAGGCATGAGGGTGTTCCGACTTTAGAGGGGTGAGTGTCATACAAACAGATACAACCATGCCTTGTTTTCACATATCCTTTCTGATCGCTCTCCTCTCCTTGTGCTTGTAGAATCATTCAGCAGCTAGTAAATGGAATCATTGCACCTACCGCAATGCCAAATATTGGTGTTGGACCCTGGTGAGTGTTTGTACCTTCAGTGATGAATTGGAAATGATCAATTTGTACATATTTTTATACTCACTTGAAATAGCAGATGATAGGATCAACCCATTTTTTGTAGCGCTTGTCCACATTATGGTTGAGCTTGAGCCTAACTCAGCAGACTTTTGGGACCCAGCCAATCACAGGGTCCATTTCGACGAACCATTCACACTCACATTCTGTCCTGTGGACAATTTACAATCTTTGGTGAACATACCATGAACGTTTTTGTGAATGTGAGAATCCGAAGTACCCCGAGAAACCCACACCAGCACATGGAGAACATCGCGACACTGAACCGACCTGTGAGGCAGGCGTGCTAACTACTTGTCCAACATGCAGCCACAGAGAATATTAAAGAAAGCATATTTTCTGCTGTTACGCCTTTCCAGTAAGAAATTACAATCCGGTGTTATTATGAAAAAAAAGATACTCTTCTTTTGCACTATGTGGCAAACATTTAGGGCCTGAATCAATTGCACCCTCTGATGGCTGCTGCCAAGTAGTGAAATCCGTAATGCCTTCATTGCGACAACACATAGTGACTACAACAATAGGTGACTGATACACATTCAGCATGAGCGACAAAATTATGAATATTCCCAAATCAAAAAGAATACAGTATTCCTCTTGTCCGTCTCTAGTAGCGAAAACAATAACTCAACTTTGATTGGTTTTAATGCTCCCATTTCACAGGGGTGTTCTTCATTCAAATCCTATGGATTATGCATGGGGTGCTAACGGGTTAGATGCGATTATAACGCAGGTATTTCCCGTCATTTTCTATTTAACCTTGAAATACGGTTTCCCAGTGCATTGGGTGTCTAAACAGCATGTGTTTTGTCCTCATTTTCAGTTATTAAACCAGTTTGAGAACACGGGGCCTCCGCCTGCTGATCGAGATAAAATAAAAAATCTACCGTCAGTCCTAGTTACAGAGGAACACGTTGGTAAGTGTGGAGCAAAAAAAAAAGTCTTGATATTGATATACAGCATGTCCATATACTCTCTTCACAATTGAAATGTTTTGAATGCAAGATCAATCAAGACGTGTTAATCATATTTGTTCTACGCACTCGGTGGTTAACGTTTTTAATCACTCAACGTTGGTGTATTTCAGGACCTTGCTGATGAAATTGTTTCATCAACAGGGCACCAGAAACCTCCCCAAAAATTGTTTGGCCTCACAAAAAGCACAATGTGAATTGTTATGTATTGAAGCAAAATCAGATTTGCAGAATCAACAAAACTATAGCAATAAATAAGTAAGACATGGTACAATACATTTGTTAACAGAAACAGTGTAAGATTAAAAAAAAAAAAGGTGTGCGTGACAGACAATAGTTGCAGACTCAATGAGACAGAAAAACAAGTCAATATCTGTTTGTCATTTGAACAGATTTGTCTGCTCATAAACTACTTGGCAAAAAAAAAAGAAAATGCATCCACTTATAAATTGCACACAACTCAAGCTCAAGGAATAGATGTTTAAATCAGCTTGCTCAGCAAAAAGGGCCCCTCGGAGCCACTTCACGTATTATACTATACAATTGTCATTTGTAAGTTGTTGCTATATTATGTGCCATGTCCTCCAGCTTCAGGGTTGGAATGTCCTGTGTGCAAAGAAGATTACAGCGTGGGAGAAAACGTGAGGCAGTTGCCGTGCAATCACATGTTCCACAACGATTGCATTGTCCCCTGGCTAGAGCAGGTAAGAGATTGCCGTGAACTCTGGAAATGTTCTGCCATCAGATTGAACAGGATGCGTGGGTGGAGCACAGCACATTGTGAGGAAATCTCCATACGTGTTTTTGAAATGTCGGCGAAAGCAGGAGGACCATTCAAAGTCCAAATGGGAGCTGCGTTTCAAACCCAGAACTTTTGCGATTGTGAAGCGAAAGTGCTAACCACTAGCATACCACGCTGCCCCAAGTCAAGCATTGTAAACCGAAAATCAAATCAAACCACTCAAGCTTAGATGACGCGTGATAGACTCATAGCGTCATTTTTTTTTCTTCCCATATCATACAAACCCAAATGCATTGTAGTTGGGACGTTGTGTTAAACGTAAATAAAAACTGAATGCAATCATTTGCAAATCGTGTTCAACATATGTTTCATTGAATACACCACTACAAAGACAAGATGTTTAATGTTCAAACTGATGATTATTATTTGCTTAAAATCAAAAAAGTTGAACTTGTGTTGTGGCAGCATCGTTGGAATGTGTTGCAGCCATACAATTCTCAGTTTGAAGTTTCAGTTTGAAGATTAAACATCTTGTCTTTGTATGTGTTTCACTGAAATATAGGTTGAACGTGATTTGCAAATCTTTGTGCTCCGTTTGTTTAACACAACCTCCCAACTTCTTTGGAAGTGGCTTTGTTCACGTGTAACAAGGGGTAACTGCCGTCAATTCAGCTTTCAGACTTTGCAAGGAGACTTCACAGACAAACGGTTTACGTGCCTTCATTGCGGCGACTGTTTTGTTTGGCAACAGAACTGAAATGGGCTCAGCAGGGAGCTCTTTATTGTCCTTGTGTATGTGACGCACGGCATCTATTCCTATTTGAGGAAATGACATATATATAATTTTTTTTTTTTTTTTTTTTTAACTTTCTCCGCCACTGTCTCCAGCACGACACGTGTCCGGTGTGCAGGAAAAGCTTGAGCGGCCAGAACACGGCAACTAACCCTCCAGAATTATCAGGGATGAACTTTACCTCCTCATCTTCCTCCACCTCCTCAACGTCCTCGTCGTCTTCCTCCACCCCGCATTCCTCCAGCTCCACCAGTAACGAGAACTCCACTGACAACTCTTAGAGAAGCATTTCATACCCGTCTCCATCTTTTTTTTTTTTTTTCTGGAGGTCCACTGCTGCTACGGCCTTGCTTGCTTCCCCGAAAAGGGGGAGAAAACCTGGTTCTCAGTCTGTTGTCTCATTAAGAGCACCCATTCAGCAGTAAGGAAGACGTGATGTCCAGTTGCTCCTGTTTTATTAAATCCATCAGGGATTCAAAAAAAAAAAAAACTGGATGGAGGCTCCGTGGAAGAAAGCTTTTGTCGGGGACAATGTGGGGAAGCATGCAAAAGACTTCAAAGGATGCCTCATGCTAGACCATTTGGAATTGAACTGTTTTTGCCAGTGTGAAAAGCAAAATGAACATTTTAAGAGGAGCATTCATATCTCAGAACTTTACCAAGCACCTAATTTTTCTCTATGGTTCCTTTTGTTTGGAATTTTGCAATGACTAAACTATCAAGGATCCACTTTCAGTTTTAACTTAAGACCCAAGCATATTTTTACATAAAAACTTGCTTTCCACATACACAACCGTTTTTATATTTTATCTGCAATGCCTAAAAATCTCTTGTATCGCCCATGTAGTTGGAACATTTCAAGTGTGGTTTAACCTCAGTGGAAAGTGAGCTCTTTTCTAAGATTGCCTTTTGATTTGCAGTATGATCATGTATGAAATAAAGAGCTCTGGGTCAAAACACTCAAGACACATCATTCTTGTCTCTAATTTGTGCCACACTGCAACATAATCAACACTTGTAACACCATTTTTTAAAATAATACATCAAAAGTCCTTTGCTAACAATATTTGACTGCTCAAGCAATAAAACGTTTCATAATGTAGTCAATACACTCTGGAAATGGAACCCATTTCAAACCCTGATGCCGACAAACTCCGAGGGAAGCAGCTTCAAAGTAGAGTAAGATTTTTGAGATTGTTTTGTTATTTTCGAGTGCTCGGGCTCTTGTCAGATTCTTGCCAGCATGAATGAAGCCATCAATTCTGCTTCCTTTTTAATTGTATGGCCATCAAGGGTGTGTACTTCCTCCATTTTGTATCATTCCTCTCAGCATCAAAGGGCTTCAATTACAAAGGAGTGTTCTTATCAACGTGACCAGTTTTATGAGGAGAGAAAATAGCTTGGCTTCACTACATGAAACTATTCAAACTTTTAAACAATGCAATTCAGTCTGCGATGAATGATTGGCCCTTTCACCTGGGTCAAGCAGCTTCATAATGACATAATTCATATGTATCATAATGTATGTGTAAAACATGTTCATTTGTTTGATTTTTAAAATCAAGTCGAGTACAACTTTATTGTGAAATGCGCTGTATGTGCAACATACAGCACAGATAAAATTTCTTATAAATAGCTTAAATTTTACTTTTTAAATGAATAATTCAGATGGAGGTCAGCGGCTAGGATGATGAATGGATTTCGATTGTATGTTCTTTTAAACAACAAAGCGTAAAATGGTTACCCCATTCATCTCACAGTTCTGAGGTTGGATGTTCAAATCCGAGTTTGTTCCTATGTGGAGTTTGCATGTAGTGCTTGCATGGTTATTCTTGCCACATTCTGAAACAATGCATACTCAAAATCATTGAATAACTGTCCTTCTGTGGCAATTATATTTTTCGTTTTGCAGTTCTGTGACAAAACAGAATTAGATGGAGGCAACTGATTCGCTGTGGCGACCCCTGAAGGGAAAAGCCGAAAGGAAATGAAGACAGTACTGTACGGAAATCTAATACCCAAAGACGTAATGAAATTTTACAAAACCACGTATATATTCATAATTAATATATTAATATTATTTCTTTTTTTTTTTAACGTACGACAAAACTGAACTTTCGGATATTTCATCAGTACAGTCTAGGAATAGACTGTTTGGCCACGCCCCCTATGTGACGTTTCGTGTACGTGCGGCGTGGGGCGTGAGTCACAGCTAGAGGACGGCGAGCGTCTCCGCTGGCTAACATTTTGCTTCAGCGCCTCGAACTGCAAAGGACGTCAAACACAGCCAAAATCAACCCGGCGTGGACGGCATCTATCGACCTGTGGTCGAACACGTTCTAGATTGTCCACCATGAAGCTATTTTGGGCTGTCGGTGTCCTTGTGTTGAGCTGTTGGCGGACGAACGCGTCCACAGGTAAACGATTCCCCCCCTTCTCTTTGGTCAGCCATGTTGGTGGAAGATGGAAGACTTTGCCCTCGGCGCGAGCGACGTTTATGTGGTTCTAGACTCATTGGTTTATTGATGCTACGCTAGCGGTTGTTTGTTTTTATCGATGTAAACGAACATCTAAACCAAAACGCGTGTTTTTTTTAAACGAAATAAATCCACGCCCTATAGGTCATAAATATTCGCTCCAGTAGACGTCCCTGGCTAGCATCACGTTGTGCTAATTTGATGATGGTGAAATTCATTAGCACAATTAGCTTCAATGACCCCGGCGTGTTTCAACTCTCAAACGTTCCTACGTGTTTGGTTTTTTTTTCCATTTTCCATTTTTAAATAGCCCTTTGGGTGTCGTTAAACAGCCCCGAGGAATGTTGACGCTTACGCAATAGGTCGTGTCAGCTAGTAGATAATTGGTGATGTATGTCCTGTCGATTTGTTTTTCGGGTTTGCTCGGCTTGTGCAGGCAACATTAGCTGTACGGTTTTTTTGATGAAGAGCCCCCCCCCCCCCACATTGTTCATTAACTGCAAGACTTTGAGGATAATGAGGACTTAGTTCCGACTCCCGTACAATCAATTGCTCTCTATTACAAGAGCTGGATTACAATGATTTGAAAAACTATTCTAAGAAATCCCCATAGTGTCTCTCTTTTATCTTAACTTTGGTTTGAAAACTAGGTCATAACGCAGTCTTTTCTGACCATCTAACTCAGTCATTATGGTGAATTGTGTTCAATATTTTTAATTATCACTTGACAGCGCAGCAGCATAACCCGCTTGATGAAATTATGCTACTATTCCAATAAACAGTAATGGCCTAAGCAGTATTGTTGAAAAATGTATGCTTGCACTTGCCCCATCAAATGAATGAATATTGTTGGAGTAAGTGGGTGACTTCGTATGTGCAGCATTATTTTAGATTTAGTGAATGTCCTCTGTGGACTGAAGAGAACAGGAAGTTAACCCCCCCTCCCACCAAGCAGGGGGCCAAGTTCAAATAACGTCAGTTCATCTCGCTGTTTTCCATTCTTGCTTCTGGAATTGCATGTGACTGTTCTCTATTGCAGGGGCCCCCAACCTTTTTTGCCCCACGGACCGGTTTATGTCAGACAATATTTTCACGGACCGGCATTTAAGGTGTGACGGAAATAATACAACAAAACTATATGGTATAAGCTGCATGAAAACTGTGGCGTTTACGAAATATAATAATAAACACAAGGAACGTCTAATCTGGCCGCAACACTCCGATCGCTATGGCAATGTTTAATGCCTTCAAAATACGGTACAACGCAAATTCAAAGTGCATGAAAATGAC